GGTTTGAAGCATGGGAAGCAAGCGGTGGCGTGAAGTTGTCGCCACGTGGTGTAGGAAAATGTATGCGCGCGCTTTTTGAGTTTCAGAATGGAAGAAGATGCGAAATGCTATGACCAGTAGCATGTGTTGGAAGAAAGCGGAATTTGCAAGATTAATAGCGACGAATTACGTGCATGCAAATCCTCAGTGATGTCGCATCGTAATGGAACAGTGAGTCGTCCAGAGAAAGTTGTAGAATCATTCCAATGAAACTTGTGTGTCGCTTCCATGTCAGAATCACCAGTTGTTTGAGAATAAAGGGTAGTGGGTCGCCTTTAGTGGTTTGGGTTCACACTTTATCTGTTTCAGTCCAGAAGATGATAGTGTTGGTTGGTAGAAAAAATGGCGTTGTTTTTCGTTTGGTACAGCCTTAAGCATGTCTGCTGTGCGAATTTAGGTCAAACGTCGCCGAGAGAAAGAAAGGGTCAAGCAAATATAGACCAGTGGGGGAAGAGTTCTCAGGTTCATCTTGAATAGTAATAATTGTTGTTCTAGTGTACGGCGTGCGTAGGATTCGAGAAGAAGTTTTTTTTAACATTTTCCCTATTTGGCTCTCTTTTTGGGAAGGTGTGTGTATAAGAAATTGTTTGTTTTTGTACATATATATCGTCTTGTGTGTTTTTAGCAGGAGTTGAAAAATGACGTCAGGAAAGTCACCACTTGTAGTGGTAGCATGGCGGTTACCACTTGTTGAGGGTTCATGGAAACAGTACAAAGGACGAAGTGTGTGTGAATATTCTGTATGTGCGTGCGTGTGTGAATATTCTGTATGTGCGTGCGTGTGTGAATATTGTGCTTAGCGTGTTTCCACGCTATCCCTTGTTAGCGTCTACATTTCGAGGTTGATAGCTGAAATCCTGAAGGAAAAAAAGAATTTACCTCAAGGTGTCAGTGCACAGGCCTGAAGGAAAAAGAGATAGAGGTGAAGAGTCAGCGGCTATTTATAGCCAGGGAAGAGAGACCCCTGGTGAAAGGGTTAACGGACTGAAGGAGGAGTTAACTCCGACAGTTTGTATTTTGTAGAAACATTTTTAGGTACACACACGCACAATTAGAATGAAACATCTGTCTGACAACAACGCCTGGATAATAGGAAAAAGTATAAGCCAAAATACACGGCCTTCTGAAGTCATTTTTATAACTCGTGTTTTTAAACTGAATCTATTTTCTAATAAATGTGTTATTTTAAATGGATGAACAATTTAGATTTGAGATTTACTCATCTTGCCGTCAGAGAAGTGACAGGTACCGAATTAGTTTTAGATAGAATAGATTTTACGAAATTCTCCTGTTAATTCTTGAACGCTGATTTTTCTTCTTGATTTGCAATAAATGTCTATATTAAAATAAATTGGAGGTGCATTTCTATAGTAGATATAATTCACCCATTCTTTTCAGAAATGCTTGCATTTGAATTCCTGACGACTGACAAAACTTTCCTGATTTTCAGTTCATTCTATCGTAAAATTATTAGCTATATATTCGAAATACACTACTATAGTAAAACATCAGTAATTTATATCTATAGTAAATTTATTAGTAAAACATTTCTATAATAAATTGTAAGCAATGTATTTCTATAATAAATTGTAAGCAATGTATATCTATGATAAAATTATTAACTGTATATTTTATCGGAAGTTTTCTATGTTTTCTCATTTCAATCGACCTCTATTTTCATCGATCATTTCAGATTTTATTCTTCCTTCCATTTTTAGTTGCTTCTTTGTATCGATTTTGGTTTTACCTCATGTTTTCCAGTTCTTTTTTCTTTTTCTCTTTACTTTTTGTTTTCTTTCCTTCTTTATTTTTTTGTTTTACTCTTTGCCTCCTTTCTTTCCTTTTATTTCTACGTCTTTTGTCTTCTTTCTTTTTCTTTTTACTTTTTATCTTCTTTTTTCCTCCCCTTCTTTCATTCTTGCTTCTTTTTTTTCGAGATTTGACTTTTCTTTTTACATTTTATCTTCTTTTTTTCTTTTTTATTCTCTCTTTCTTTCGCGATTTCTTTCGCACTGTCTTTCTTCTTTTTGTCTTTTTTTTTTTTTGCCCTTTCTTTCTTTCTTTCTATCTATCTATCTAGCTATCTTTCTTTCTTTTTTCTTTCTTGTTTAGCCTTTTCTTTTTTACTTTTCTCTTTTTCTTGCACTATTTTTTCATTCTTTCTACTTTTCTTTCTCTATTTATTTTGTTCCTTGCTTTTCTTTTTCTTTCTTTCTTTCTTTCTTTCTTTCTTTCTTTCTTTCTTTCTACACTTTGTCTCTTTTCTTTATTTCTTTCTTTCTACACTTTGTCTCTTTTCTTTCTTGCTTTCTTTCTTTCTTTCTACACTTTGTCTCTTTTTTTTCTTTCTTTCTTTATCTTTTGACATCTTTTCTTTTCCTTTATTCATTGTCTTCTATTTTCTTTATTTCTTTTCTTTCGTTTGAAGCTTTTCAAGCTGCCATGACTCATTATCATCTATTTTGTTTGATACATTTTCTTACAAAGGATCATCAGTCAAATGAGGAAATATAATGTCTTAAAAATTGTCTGTTTTTAATTATGTATATATGTATTCATGTGCATGCGCACGCGCATGCGCGTGTTTGTAAGGGAACATAAAGATACACACCTGAAACCACATAAAAATTGAATAGATACATAATGAAAAACGCATAAATCTTCAGACGTCATTGTCAGCCGAACAAACAGAAAAGATAAGAACATTTGTCCTAAAAAAAGAAAGAAATCTCTCTATTGTCGTCATTATTATTATTATTATTATTATTATTATTATTATCTCTAGCGACAGTTGCTAAAGATCAAGTAACAACAAGTCACCTCATATCCCCCGCTTCAGCACGCCTCCGCAAAATTTCGCTTAGGCTGTCTTCTGGATGCTTTCCTGGGATTTCTCTTCCTTTTTTTTTTTCACTAGACATTTTCCAAGAGTTCTACTTCATTCATTATTTTTTTTTAAAATTCTTTTTGATAAAGTTCACATATATTTTCCACTTTGGTTAATTTAATTTAAGCCTTGTTGAGTAACTGCTTTCGACATCTCGGTCTAATGTCATCCGCCTACATGAAGTGGAAAGATTATATTGAATCAACTATCTTAGAAATCACTAGACTACCCGTGACCCGTTGGGTTACTGACGGTTCAGGTTATAAAACATTAAAGTTGATTTCAACATACCATTGAAATGAAAGTTAATTTTTTATGATTCAGTTAAATATTTCAATTCGTTCATCATCAGTCTGGTTTACAAGTTCATGTTTAACGTTTTACTGATTGTTTTCTTTTCAAGTGAATATGATTTTAAAATACTTTTTTTGCATATTAAAATTATTTTTTTAAGTTGATCTGATTTAAGTTTCAAGTTTATCCCGGAAGTTAAGATTTAATAGGGCAGCCAATCTAAGAGACTTACTGCAGACCAATATACAGTATTTACTACTGTATTTATGTGAATGAGGACATAACCATTATCGTCCTTAGTTATGCTACAACAGTTACAGAAACCATATCTGTGATAGTGAGGCGGTGAGGTGATTAAACATTAATTGTAAGCAGGAAAAGAAAAGAGTTAACCCAAAATGAAATATAGGTTGGAAGATAGATATAGAGAGATTGGAGACATTTTCTTTGGTGATAATGAGACGTCTGGATTTCTTCTCTCCTAAAACTTTATTTTTCTTATCTATCGAGAATCTGACATGCAGACGAAAATCAGAGAAATAATTTTATTTCTTTCTGGAGAAATTCGGAAAATACATATTATAACCGGAAGAGAATATATATATATATATATATATATATATATATATATATATATATATATATATATATATATATATATAATAAAATGGACAAAGTCCGACAATTTATTTATTAAAGACATTTTTTTTATTTTTAACGTTCTTTTTTATAGATACAAGTATTTAAGTAAATGCTCTGTTTATAATAAACAGTATTAAATAACATTTACCGGCCTGAATGTCCGAGAAATTTTCATATAAAATATTCGTTCTTTGACAGGATTCGAACCTGCATCTATATATATTAATATATATATATATATATATATATATATATATATATATATATATATATATATATATATATATATATATATATATATATATATATATATATATATATATATATATATATAGAGAGAGAGAGAGAGAGAGAGAGAGATGATTCTATACCACTCAGAAATATTTCATCAACAAGAATCAGAACGAAGTTAAAAGTTAACCTTTTCTTTCTTTTGTTCACGTATATATATATATATATATATATATATATATATATATATATATATATATATATATATATATATATGTATATATAAGTGCGCAGATATGCAAAAAATAGAAAAGAACACGTTGGGTGCATAATCCGGATTTCTTTAGTATTTTTGTTTTTATTTTTAAGAAAACAGTGCTCCATACAGAAGTAGAGCTTTATTATAATAATATTTTTTTGTTTAAAAATATGATTCCTTCGCTACATAAGAGTTCTCATGTTTGAAAAACGAGAGCCGAAACCATCCAAATAATTATTAAAATTAAGTTGAATTTTTAATCGAGGCAGACATGTGTTAAAATGCCTTTAAACCGTCTGGTCATTTTAGCCACGTGACGTCAGAATAAGTATATTTGTAATGAACACTTTCCTGTAAAAGGTAGAAACTAAGTTACAATTTCAAAAGAACTGCATTACTTTAACTTGATCCTAGTAGAGATAAATGTACTTTTTGAGCTTCTCTGGTAATAATTTTCTCGGTATAAAAAGGCAACTGAAACATCATATTATAGTTCTGTTTGTTCCTTAGTTGGACACCATGTACGTTACACTCTGTAAAAGCTTGGATGTCAATTGACCACAAATTTAGTTTACCTGTTCCCTGCCCTCAAATTGGCAGCAGCGAATAGAGTAAATCTCTAATAATGTTTTTAACTTCCGGCAAGCCTCATTCTGATGGCTTGCTTTGAAGCTGTATATGCATATTTCTAGAAAGAAAGAAAGAAAGAAAGAAAAGACAAAGAAAGAAAGGAAGAAAAGACAAAGAAAGAAAGGAAGAAAAGACAAAGAAAGAAAGAATAAAAGGCAAAGAAAAAAGAGAAGACAAAGAAAGAAATACTAAAAAGCAAAGAAAGAAAGAAAATGTAAAGAAAGAAAGAAAAGACAAAGAAAGAAAGAAAAGCAAAGAAAGAAAGAAAAGGCAAAGAAAGAAATAATAAAAAGCAAAGAAAGAAAGAAAGAAAGAAAGAAAGACAGACAGAAAATGAAAAGAAAGAAAGAATAAAAGGCAAAGAAAGAAAGAAAAGGCAAAGAAAGAAAGACAAAGAAATAAAGAAAAGAGAAAAGAAAGAAATAATAAAAAGCAAAGAAAGAAAGAAAGAAAGAAAGAAAGAAAGACAGAAAGAAAAAAAGAAAATGTAAAGAAAGAAAGAAAATGTAAAGAAAGAAAGAAAAGACAAAGAAAGAAAGAATAAAAGGCAAGGAAAGAAAGAAAATGTAAAGAAAGAAAGAAAATGTAAAGAAAGAAAGAAAATGTAAAGAAAGAAAGAAAAGAGAAAGAAAGAATAAAATGCAAAGAAAGAAAGAAAATGGAAGAAAGAAAGAAAAGAAAGAAAGAAAGAGAAAGAAAGAATAAAATGCAAAGAAAGAAAAGAAAAAAAGTAAAAGAAATGTAAAGAAAGAAAGAAAGAAATGAAAAAAAGAAAGAAAAGAATAAAATGTACAAAAGAAAGAAAGAAAAGAAAAGAAAGAAAGAAATGTAAAGAAAGAAAGAAAGAAAAGAGAAAGAAAGAATAAAATGCAAAGAAAGAATAAAAAGAAAAGAAAGAAAGAAAGAAAGAAAAGAGAAAGAAAGAATAAAATGCAAAGAAAGAAAGAAAATGTAAAGAAAGAAAGAAAATGTAAAGAAAGAAAGAAAAGAGAAAGAAAGAATAAAATGCAAAGAAAGAAAGAAAATGTAAAGAAAGAAAGAAAATGTAAAGAAAGAAAGAAAAGAGAAAGAAAGAATAAAATGCAAAGAAAGAAAGAAAATGTAAAGAAAGAAAGAAAATGTAAAGATAGAAAGAAAGAAAATGTAAAGAAAGAAAGAAAGAAAGAAAGAAAGAAATAAAAGAGAAAGAAAGAAATAAAAGAAAGAAAGAAAAGAAAAAGAAAGAATAAAAATGAAAAGAAAGAAAGAAATGCAAAGAAAGAAAGAAAATGTAAAGAAAGAAAGAAAAAGAAAGAAAAGAGAAAGAAAGAAAGCAAAGAAAATGAAAAAGAAAGAAAGAAAATGTAAAGAAAGAAAGAAAAGAGAAAGAAAGAATAAAATGCAAAGAAAGAAAGAAAATGTAAAGAAAGAAAGAAAAAGAGAAAAGAAAGAAAGAAAAGAGAAAAAATGTAAAAAAAAAGAAAAGAAAGAAAAGAAAGAAAGAAAAGAGAAAGAAAGAAAAAATAAAGAAAGAAAGAAAAGAGAAAGAAAGAATAAAAAGAAAGAAAGAAAGAAAAGAAAGAAAGAAAGAAAAGAGAGAAAGAAAAGAATAAAAAAGAAAAAGAAAGAAAGAATAAAAATGCAAAAAAGAAAGAAAAAAGAAAGAAAAGAAAGAAAAATGTAAAGAAAGAAAGAAAGAAAATGTAAAGAAAGAAAGAAAATGTAAAGAAAGAAAGAAAAGAGAAAGAAAGAATAAAAGGCAAAGAAAGAAAGAAAATGTAAAGAAAGAAAGAAAAGAGAAAGAAAGAATAAAATGCAAAGAAAGAAAGAAAATGTAAAGAAAGAAAGAAAAGAGAAAGAAAGAATAAAATGCAAAGAAAGAAAGAAAATGTAAAGAAAGAAAGAAAATGTAAAGAAAGAAAGAAAAGAGAAAGAAAGAATAAAAGGCAAGGAAAGAAAGAAAATGTAAAGAAAGAAAGAAAAGACAAAGAAAGAAAGAATAAAATGCAAAGAAAGAAAGAAAGAAAGAAAGAAAGAAAGAAAGAAAAGACAAAGAAAGAAAGAATAAAATGCAAAGAAAGAAAGAAAGAAAGAAAGAAAGAAAGAAAGAAAGAAAGAAAGAAAAGACAAAGAAAGAAAGAATAAAAGGCAAGGAAAGAAAGAAAAGACAAAGAAATAAATAAAGAAGAGAAAAGTAAAAAGAAACGGCAAAGAATTAAAGAAAGAAAGGAAGGAAGGAAGTGAAAATAGAGAAAAGGATAACTCCCACGTGAGTCTCGTGTCTGCTTCGATGAAATTGTATAGTAACGTGCAATATGGCAGACCGGAATTATTAGTTTGAATAAAAATTAGCAAAGACTGTTAAAATTCCACGGGTCCCGCTTTACATTATGTGGTATATGATTGGATTTGTATTTAAAGAATGCTTACAACTTACCGCCCTTAATATATAAATACAATATATCTAGTATAAATCTGTTTCCTGTAGAATTTCTACGGGTAGAAATTCTATGGGTTTTATTAATTGAATAATCGCAATCGTATCTCTACGAGAATCTCTAAACCAAAATGTCTTTGTCGGTCTCCCAAAGCATTTTCTTCTAGCGAGATTTCCAACGACATAGAACTTTTGTACACTTTATGATGATCTACAAGCGAATTCTTGCTAACATCGTCTGCACCTACCTGACCTTTGAGAAAAGATTTTCACCAATCCGTTTTTGTCGCCTTGACCTCGGTTTTGAGTTTACACTTAGTCGTCATCATATTGACTCACCTAATGATAGGTTGTTTATCCAAAAGACGGTAATGAAATTCAATCGCTGTAATTCTAACTAACCCTATCCCAGGCAGAAGGGGAGGCCTGGTTTGCCCTCGCATAACTTTCAATTGATTGCGTTCCTCTTGTAGTTGAGTTATTGATGTGAAACTCCAGATATGTTACTAAAAATAGATGACCGTGAAAAAAGGTCTAAGCAATAAGAACACACATTAGCATTTTTAAAATAATTTCAACCTAAGCAAGGCAATAAATCCATTAAGACGCAAGTGTGAAAGAATATGAGAAAAAAAACTATTAAGGAGAGAGAACAATAAAAAATAAATAAAAAAACAGAATGATATTGCATTTACATTTTTGAAGATCAAAGTTGACTGGGAAGCAAGAAGCAAGAAGATAGTTCCACAAGTGAGAAGTGCGAGAGATGAAACTGTTGGTATAGAACTTGCTGTAACATCAGCATATTACTCCACGCTTCATGTCAAGTTATTTTCAATATCACGTCTTCATGTGACTATGTTGGCTTGTCGTTTTTATGAAGTATATTTCCTATATTTGTTCCTAGATTTGATAACACATTACATTGATGTTGGACTGTTGCTGTTTCTTTTTAATGCTACTAGTATTTGTAATCGTTTTTATTTAGTTCATGTGATATAGTACTTTTACACTACTGGTAATGATTCGGCAGATTTCTTCTTGCGTTTTTTTTTTTTTGTGATATACGATTTAATTGAACTAGTATCGTATAAATGGCATGTTAATCGGCGTGATAACGTATTGGTTGTTTTACCAATATACGTATTGTTTGAATTATTATTATTATTATTAGACAGATACTCGCCAAGAAAGCAAGTGATTTTTTAGACAACATTTCTGTATTGTTGGTGGTCATCATGTTCAAAGTGTTTAGATTTTGTAAAAGTAATGTTTGTTTTTTTGTTGGTTTTTGTCGTTAGGTGATATATACCTATATATTAGGTTCCTTTTAACTTATTTCGTCTAATTTGTGGTTGTTGTGTAGGTTTTTCAAGAATAGTTTAATGGTGTTTTATGTAATTATTATTATTACTGTTGTTTACATTATTTTAGACATTATAAGTAATCTAGAAATAACTTAGATACAGGGGAAAGTTACATGGGATGCTATATATAAGTTATATGCAAATATTATGCTATTTTATACAAGTTATTCGACTTGGGTTTCATTGCATCATGGTTATCTACGGAAGCTACCGGAACAAATTTCCGGTTCACACTCCTCCCCGATCTTTTGAAAAGGAGTAGAGGTCTATCCCTTTGTTGCCTGTTTAGGATTGGATTTTCGGTTCTTTTTAAATTTTACTTCACTACTATACTTCTAATGCCTTCGCCTAAAACTCAAAACCTTTATTTACATTTTCTTCCTCTAAAGGACTATACAGATTTGCTTACTGCCCGGTTCACCCTCCACCCGGTCTTTTGGAAAGGAGTAGAGATTTATCCCTTGTTTCTTGTTTAGGATTGAGCTTCGATTCCCTCTAAAGTATGTTATAGACAAGCGTATAGTTGCAAGAAAGAAATACGACAACAGTAGAAATAGATTTACGTGGTTTATTTCAACAGGAACGTAAGGATTTAGGACAGCTACCTTGGGTGGCAAAGTTCATAAGCCGGCTTTCGGATCTGGTCGATCTCTCATAGTAGTTCACACATGTTGACGGTGGTTGACGCTCTCCTGTTGGCAGCTGCTGAACGTGACCGGTCTCCTTTGTGGCCACCTGTTGACTGCCCGTTGAACTTCCGTGTGACCCCTTTTATAGCGCTTTTTTATGGCTTAACAGGCTTGAGAAACGAAGCGAGTATAATTAGGAGGGAAGCATTTTTATTGGACGAAAAATACAGCACTTTAATTATTATTTTATTTTTCGACCGGAACACGTGTGTCGGAAACATTTGTAAAGAAAGTTAATGGTCACTTTGTGACGGGGCTTTGTCCCGTTCACATCCGGTTCTCGCTCTTGAGTATTTGCCTGTAAATCAGCCGAGATATGTCATTTTATTTTATAACAAGTATTTTCCTTCTCTTTCACTTCCGCTGGATCCATGCGTCTTGGTGGCATTATCGCCTTGCTTGGGTTTGTGCCTCTTACTCTTTAACCCTCTACCTCATATGGCTCTTTGGCCTTGTACAGGGCGAACAACAACCGAAAAATGACTATTCTTCAATTTTAGTACACTTTTTCTGCGATGTTAGTGAACTCCGATTTCAGAAGCTGATCCTATCCTTATTGGAACTGCATAAAATCGTAAAGTGATAATTATTAATGATTTGAAAACTCAAAAAACCATCGAAACGAATATGAAGTGGTATGTATATCGACCTATGCCACTATATCTTTTCAAGAAAACGATATAGAACGAAAACAAAATACAAGTTGAAATTTTATTAAATATTTATTCTATGAAATAGAAAGAAAAATAATAAATTTGGCTGTTGAAAAGGTACGCTTTCGCTAACAGCAGAGTCCAAGCGTCTACATTTCTAAAACAAGAAAAGTACTACAGTGTAACCCGGATATAAGAGAAACCCGGATATAAGAGAGATTTTCTCTGGTTCCAAATTAGAGCCCATACTTACCTAAACAAAATAGACCAAACCCGGATATAAGAGAAACCCGGATATAAGAGACTTCTTCTCCGGTCCCGACAACTCTCTTATATCCGGGTTACACTGTATTTACATGACCGGTTGTAGAGAAGCGTTTTTCGTTAAAGTCGATGACCCAACGCACTATGCAAAGGAAAAAGGGAGAATTTTTTTTGGAAAATATAGGTTTTTAAAGACACCAATCATCTGCTGCTCATATTACGTATCTTTTTTTTTACAGCCAACAATCTGTATTGGGGCCTAAACTCATTAAAACCGTATCGCTTTATTAACATATGTACAAAGAACACTGAATTTTTTACAAGATGTTTTAAATCCATTTGAGTCGTTTCAGAATTAGACAAAATGAAGATGTCTTTATCTTGGTCAAACGTTGAAATAAAGACGTTGAGTATTTTAAAATTTGATTTTATAAGCACGTCAGCGAATCCAGTTCGCTTTAGTTAGAAACGTGTTTGCTTACAAGATTTAATTCAAAAGATCTCGGAATTTGTTTATCAGGTTCTATGATTAACTTCAATGAAACTGAAGCAAATCATAGCAATTGTCTACGGAATCAAGTCACTGTACATGCAAAGTATCTGTACATGGCGTCTCGGTTTCCATCAACGAAGTACCGTCATATTGCGAAGCTACCGGAAGTGAATGAAAGTTTGTCTTCACGGAGTAATTGGTTAATACGGGGTTATATTATTATTGTTGCTGTTAGGGATCAAGTTTACAGGATCGAACAAAATTGTCATTATCACTAGAACTGGATGATTGGTTGGTTGCATCTTTTGAATGAAGAACCAAGCTTCATGCACAGTTAGATTTCAGGGTCGAAACCATGTTAGGGGAGGAGGAAAGGAAAGAGGAGGAGGAAAGGAAAGAGGAGGAGGAAAGGAAAGAGGAGGAGGAGGTAAATGTAGACGAAAACAAAAAGGGAGATTGGGGAGAAAAGTGTAAAGAAGTACAAAAAGAACAATTTTCTTTTAAAGAGATAGATAAGATAAATAAGCGGTAAGATTTAATATGGGAGGAAGCTGAATTGTTGACTAGGAATCTGGAGAGGAGAAAGAAGAGGAGGAAACGAAAGAAAAAAAGAACTGTAGGAAGAGGAGAAGAAGAAAAAGGAGAGAAGGAATGAGAAATAAACTAAAAAAGAAAAGAGAGACAGAAGAGAAAAGTGTGAAGAATTACAAGGTAACCAAAAAAGTTCTGTCCGTTTTTTGATTAGTCATTGAATGAAGTTGAAATATATACGAAATGCGTGTAGCAATTGTTTTCAAATTCGGACAGCCGGAAGTAGGAACATCAGACGTTATAAAAAACACGCACACCGTGCCCGGCCATCAGTTATAAGCCGGACATCTGTGAGAATAATGGAAGTGTCTAGAGATCTTATTCGGGGCTGTTTGCTTTACGACTTCAAAGTGGGCAGCTGCATAAAGTCGCCGCATATGTTAAGCTTTTGGGGATAGTGCTGTGGATGAACGTATTGCAAGGCGTTGGTTTCGAAAATTCAAGTCGGGAGATTTGTCTCTCCATGATGAGCCTCGCAGTGGACGACCACAGGTCTTGAATGACGGAGTCCTGAAGGCGGCCATGGATGAGGACAGTAGTCTAACGTGTGGTGAACTTGCAAGACAGTTCAACGTGTCCGATGAAACAGTTAGACCTCACCTGCACCGCCTATGTAAGACGTACAAACTGAGCAAGTGGGTTCCGCAAACGCTGTTGGAGGTCCACAAGGGACAACGAGTGGCAGCCTGCGTATCGCTGCTTTCTCGCCACCGTACCGCATCCTTATTCAATCGAGTGCTTACCAGTGATGAAAAGTGGGTTCTGTACGAAACTCCCAAGCGTTCCAGACATTGGTTGTCGCCTCAGGATGCTGTCCCTCACACCGCAAGACCGCCTATGCACCCACGCAAGATTATGCTTTGTGTCTGGTGGACAGATCGTCAAGTGGTTCATTATGAACTGCTACCAACGGGCCAAACGGTCACTGGAGACCTATATTCGCAGCAATTGAAACGTGTGCAACAGGCATTGCGCTAGATGGAGCCAGCACTGGTGAATCGCAAAGGTGTGCTTTTCCTTCATGACAACACCAGGCCGCATGTCGCGCGAGTGGTCAGGGATACCATACAGCAACTTGGGTGGGAGACTTTGTGCCATCCACCTTATTCACCTGACCTTGCGCCATCCGATTACCACCTCTTTCACTCCCTGGATAATCATCTTCGTGGGAAATCCTTCACCGATGAAGCAGACTTGCACAAAGCCCTCACGGACGTCTTTGCGTCAAAACCCCCCGAGTTCTACAGCAAGGACATTGAACAGCTGGAGACACGTTGGCAGAAGGTGGTGGATGCCGATGGCGATTACTTCGAAGACTAAATATACTGTGAAGCGTTTTCTTTTTTTCCTTTAAAAACAGACAGAACTTTTTTGGTTACCTTGTAATTGTAGAGTCTGAAAGAAGACAAAGCAGCGGAAAGGTTTGACAAAAGAGGAATTTGAGATGTTGACAAAGGAAAGGGTATCTGTGGTAGGAGGAGGAGTAAAAGGGGAAAAAAAAGAAAAAGACTAAAAAGAAAAGGGAGACGATGGAGAAAAGTGTGAAGAGGAAGAAAAAGAACAGGCCTCAGGTGATAAAGAAGACAAATGAACGGGAAAATTTGACGTAAAAGCTGTCGGGGAAGGAAAAGGAATAGAGTGAGGAGAAAGAAGAGAGGTTTCTGTAGAGGAAGATGAGAAGGAGGCAGAAGAAAGAGGAACCGGACGAGAAGGAACAGAAGAAGTGAAATTAGTAGAGGAAAGAGGGGATGTAGACAAAGGTGGGAAAGAAGAAGGAAGAGAAAAAATAGGAGTCAATGGCGATTCTAAAAGACATGTCGGAGAAGAAGATGGCGAAGGAAAAGGAAAAGATAAAATCTCAAGAGAACCATCCTCCTCGTTCGAGGTTCCGGCGGGAAATAACGTATTTGAAGAAACGTGTGAATGGCCGTCTGCTTTCGTAAAAGGCAGGTTATATGTGAACTGTGTATTTGTACAAAGTTTATCATTGGAAAATGTACACAAGGTGTTAGCCTCACTGTTTTCTGTCTTTGAAACGGGCAGAAAGTCGAGAGCTAAATTTTCGGGAGCAGGATTGGTTTTCGCTGTTAGAAAAGTATTGCAGAAATTGTCATCATTATTGTTGTTGTTATCATCATTGTTATTGTTCTGGTTACTTTCCGAAATATGGTTGTGAGTCGGCGCCATTTGTCTGGTTTGAGCTAACATGGGACAGTTTTTTTCATGTTCCACCAGTTGTTTAATCAAACCGTCTCTCTCATCTTTTAATTTTTTCAAAACTTCTCTTAGTACAACATTCTTTTCCAATTGTATGCTAAATTCCTGTAAAACAGTGAAAAACATGTGATCAGATATTTTATTTAAATATTATATATATATATATGTGTATGTGTGTGTGTGTGTGTGTTTAGGCAGCAACTTTTCTTTCAAATATGTTTCATTGAAAATGGCCGACAAGGAAGATTTAATTAATCTTTTATTGAGTTTTTCCAACATTCTAACATTTTTCCGTTTTTTAGGGGTTAAAGAATAAAGAAATTGGTCATAGTTATAATTGTTCCGAGTGCTTTCGGCTAGTTCTCTAGCTATTATCAAGGATGTTGTTTTGGATGGTGAATTTCTGTGATTTTACTTCTATATATTAATTTAGCTGTATGGAGTACGTACGAAGGTTGTAAAGGTTATGGCTTTTTGACATTTTGTAAAATAATTGATTTCCTTTTGTTAAAAATTAATGAAGAAGGGTTTAATTCAGTTTATTTCTTTAAGTAATGTCACTCGTAACACGAAATTTCTAAAATCGTATATAAGTATAGTAGTATTTGACTTGTTGGAAGCTTCTAGAACTTCCTGGAATCTTCTAGAACTTTATGGAAGCTTCTAGAACTTGTCTTTGTTTATTTTAAGTTTATTTGTTAAATGCATTAAAAAATGCATAACTACTGTCCAATTACATGATTAGCAAATTGGAAAATAAAGATTCCGAAATATTTATATTTTTTACTCTTATTGCGCATATGGTAAAATCGAATTTTCGTTTTGGGATGACCTTTTTCTAGAACTAAAAAAAATTAATGCCTTTTTCAATACTTTTGTACAAAATTTCATCTATTTATGACTCAAGGACATAGGGTTACTAAAAGGTCATAACCCTTATATATATATATATATATATATATATATATATATATATATATATATATATTCAGAGGATTGATGTGAGTTTTGTGACCCTGGGCTATTTACGATTGTCAAATGTGGGGGCAGAAGTATATGTAAAATGTGTGTGTATATATATATATATATATATATGTGTGTGTGTGTGTGTGTGTGTAATTTTTCATATATATTATTTTATATATAATATATGCGCGGTACTTATTGGAAAGGCTCAAACTCACATCAATCCAACTAAATATGTTAGATCTATATAATATATAAATAATATGCATAAAAAATGCCTTCATATATAATTATATACATTTCACACACACACACACACACACACACACACACACACACACACACACACACATACACATATATATATATATATGCCGGGTGTAACAGCAAAATTGTCCAAATTGTGTAGCAAATTGTCCATTCCGCAAAATGTTTAATATAAAAGAAATCACAAAACAAATTGAGTTTCTTTTTCCCAGGTTTTCAGATAAGACGTTTAGCCATCTTGGTACCGTTTTAGAATCACTGAAAAACCCTTTTAGTTATTCAGCTAGAAAGAGAACAGGTTAAAATCATTTTGTGTCAGCCCAAATGAGCAATGGTGAGACGAAAAAGATCAGTCGGCTCTTCAGTAATGGTACCAACATTGATACTCTGGCTTCCATCTTCAAAGTCCAAGAACCATCAAGAAAATGGTGAATAAGTTTAAAAATGAAGGAACAGTAGAGAGAAAAAGTGGATCAGGTGGTCACAACAGGAAGAGAGATCAGCATTTCAATTTAGAGTTAAATACATTCTTATTGTTCAAAGTAGGGTCCAATATGGTTATAAAAACCTCGGAGAATTGCAATAAGAGTTATTTTTTAGTTAAATAATACATTTTAGATGCATCAAGGGTTGTCTTCAGTGATGCACTGTCCTCATTACAGATTTCGGGTTTTGCATCATATCGGCTTCAACAGCAACCTCGACCTGATTCAAGACGAGTCAAACCGCCTCCTTGAAAGCGTCGTGCTACGCACCGCGATATTGCAAAAAAATGGAAATCACATTCCAAGAGAGGCCGGACTTCGACCGTTCTTATTGACATATGTCAGTCGACGCCAGCCAATGAAAAACAGGGCTTTTTACGATCCTCTCCTATATCGTATTGCCTTTTTACTTCATCTGGTTTAGCTTTGATCTACTACTTCCGGAATCCATAACGAGGTGAGCTGCTCTCTTTATTGCATAGTTTAATCCAATGTTTTACATATTAAATACTAATCCCAAGATATCTTTAATCCTTTCTAAGATACACCGGTTCAAAGCTTAATCTAACAATTGAACAATTTTTCTGTTACACGATTTGGACAATTTTGCTGTTACACCCGGCGTATATATATATATATATATATATATATATATATATATATATATATATATATACATGTCATTAAAGACAACTGACAAAGTACAGTGATAAGGCTTTTTATTTAATTTTTTTCCTGTGTTCCTATATGTGTTTTCTTTTCTGAACATAAAGTGTGTAAAAATTTTTCTTTCTAAGTTAGCTAATAGCTATAGTGGACATAGAGATAAAAACAATAACATGAACATTTTCTATAAAAGCCAAATACGTATTAGCTATGAGCAAAAAGAATTTCCTCTTAGAAACATAAAGATATACGCAATTATCTTATTGGACCTAACACTACATACCTATCAAGAAGACTAACATTACATCTCTCTGACCAGAACTATATTAGGATTCATTTAAACGTACACGGAAACCTACCAAACCCCATCCGCAACATACTTGTAGAAAATACAAGTACAATAGCCTCATTCACAATATGCTGACCATGTTTGAAAAATTTAAAAAAGAACATTCCCATCACTCTAGAAACATATAAAAAAATCTACGCATTCAGTTTAAAATAAAAAACATCCTCGATAATGGCTAACAGAATAGCCGAAAGCGCTTGGATATATAAAAAAAATTGGACAATTTTTATACAATTTCTGTATATATATATTTACGAGGTCAAGTCAAAAATTATCCGCACATTCACCATAATATAACTTTACTGCAATGCGCTCACGAAACTTCGAAGTCGGCATGACAACCAACACCACTTAGTTAAGTGATAAGTTTTCTCACATTAATCCTACTGTCGTATATAGCTGGGGCAATTTCTGCCAAGACTGCAAATAAACGTGATGTTTTGCAACTCATGATGGAAGACGACATCTTCCCGATTGATCAATTCTGGACGCTTTTCATTGATTGTTGCATTTAATTAGTCCTTTTGGGAAAAAGTACTTGTCTTAATTTAACCTGTGATTTTACGGTAGGGACTCATAATATAGAATGCCTTCTCAATTCTACCAGAAACACAGCATCACCTTCTTCAGTTACAGAGGAGCTTTTAGAGTGGTTAACGGTGGCTATTTTTGTTTTCTGAAATACCTTTTTCGATCCACATTGTTGTAAACAATCCAGTATTCATTGCTTGTAATCGTTCTTTTGCTCCGTTTTGTTGCGTTTGTCCAGAGAATCACCGATGGAAATACGTTCCATTATATTTTTTTTCTGATCGTAGTGATCCATGTTACCAAACGCTTTACGTTCTGCACCCAGCTCATAAATTATCACGAAGGCGACTTCCAGAAAGCGATGCTTTCACACATACATTGATCTGTCATTTTACAAAGAAGAAGAAGAAACAAAAAGAAGACTTATACCTAATGTTAGGTATAAGTTTTTTCTTTTGTTTCAATTCTCTAAAACTTTGTATTTGCTCACATACGCACTCTATTGAAGCAAATTGAATATATATATATATATATATATATATATATATATATATATATATATATATATATATATATATTCTCGACTCTCAAGCAGATCAGTTCCTAGGAAACCGACAGCCCGACAACAGCACATGAGATTTGATTATAGTGGTGAAGGTTTCGTGCAGGACCATCCACACTTTTTGAAGGGCCGAATACAGAGACCGGGTACACTTAGTGCCACAAAGTCCCCAAACGACCCTCCGCAGGTTTGGAATTCAGAGTCGTCCTTCTCCTAGAGCAGTTGCCATCCAAGGACATAGAACCCAGTCTGTCCTGTTATTTACCCATAGCTGGAAGGAGAAGAAGAGGATTCACACCTTTCCCAAGGGTATTAGCACGTAATATAATAAAAAATATTTTACATCGCGATACGGAAATTTCTGTGTTTCGGAATTTTAATTTTGTTCCATTATCAAGGGATGTCGAGTAACTTTTGATGAAAATAATTTACGTTTTTTCTTGGGTCACGTTTATTAAAAAAGAAAAGAAAAAGTAAATCATTTTCATTAAAAATTTTATCGCTTGATAATGGAACAAATTTAACGTTCCGAAACATAGAAATTTCCGTGTCGCGATGTAAAATATATTTTTAAATAAAAATATTACTAAAATATTATGCTCTACGTTGTATCAAGCACTTTTGTAAAAAAGGAAATGCTAAAAAACTGTGGATTCTTAATCTGACTATTCTTCCTCTTTATTTGGATATATATATATATAAATTAAATTATAGAGCAAAGAAGACAATTCAATAGCGATGTGTACCTGTGTTAGAAACCTGTCTCTCAATTTTCTTCTGTTTCGACATCTGGCCGCTGCCTTTTTGTTCTGCTCTCGGCGTCGTTGT